TGAATAACTCGAAATTGAATAACTCGAAATTGAATAACTCGAAATTGAATAACTCGAAATTGAATAACTCGAAATTGTAGAAATTCGATTTAATTATTTTAACATAAATTTATGAGTTGATTTTGTTATATGAATCATAATAAATAAAAGTTTTTATAGATTCCGAGAACTTTTATTATTTTCCCATCAATCATATAATCACTTAACTATTATATTTAATGATATTCATGTACATACCCGACATCTAGGACTTTGGCACCTGGTTTAGACAAAATATGATCGATAGGAGCAGAAAAATTGCTTTGCCACATGTATCTTACTAAGAAATGTTGTATATGTAACCTATCTGTTTCATATTCATCGTTCGGTAAATGGTATACAGCATTTTCTGCGTTATGATATCTTCTGCCACTATTATATCTAAATTCTGGTTGTATGCTTTGTGAATCCATAGAATCATTATTTTCGCTTAAATTGGAAGAATAACATCCCATATCATTAAAGAAGTTTGGGATTATTTAGTTTTTTTGACTGATAAAGTATTAAAGAATGTATAACAGTAGAAATTTATTATTTAAAGATATTTACTATTCAAAAAATGAAATGTATGCACGTACGTAAATGACTTATTTATACGTTGCGTCGTTTATGACAATTAAGATTTTCCGAACATCTTAATTATATAACGTTAATAAAATTAAGCGGTTATTGTGTGTACTACATTATAAATATCAAAATGTATCGTATCGTTTGATCATTAATAATTATATATTAAAATAGCCAATGAAGTTATGTGATTATTAATGTGTTTTCCGCAAAAGTCCGAATGCCAAATATATGCAAAATTTATTTGTTTTTTGCAGAAATTAGATTTCATTGTGGATAATTCTGTAATTGTGGATTTGGCCTAAATTTGATTACAAAATTTTGCTTTGCAGAATTTGAATTTATACCACAAAAAATCATTGTCCCTGTATAAGACCTAATTTAGTTTAGTTTAAAAAAACATAGCTTAAGATGTAGAAGCAGCTTAGATTAATGCCATAAATTATTTCAGATCAAACATAGCTGCATAAAATAAAAAATAAAAAAAATGAAAATATAAAAATGACCGCCTTATTATACTAGTTCAAACATGACAGAAATACATTCAAATGACTATTTTTATCTCGATTCCAATGTTCTAACTTCTCGAAATTTTATTATTCTGTTTTTTTCTGGTTTGTATTACATTCACGTGCACAAATATTTAATCTTTACTTATACGTTATACAACATTTAAATTTATATTACAGTAGTTCAGTAGTTGTCCTATGTGAGTTTTGCATTTTATTAGGATTTTCCCGATATTTCCATGGATATTACATTTTGTTAAACAACGCATTTAGTTTAGTTCTGTGGATATACATTTTTTTTAAGTTTGTATCACTCTATTTTTCTAAATTCGATCAATTTTGATTTATTTGCTACTTGAACGATTTTTTTGAATATACTGTACTATTAATTGCAAAATTTGTCAAACTAAGGATAAAAAAAAGATAGCTTGTTGTAAATTATTTTTAAATTTAAATGCAAATCCACTTAATATTTTTTTTTACTAAAAAAGGTTTAAATTACGTAATAAATGTTAAGTTGCGTATGTATTTAAATATTCAAACACTTTTTACGTTTAAACGTTAAATTAGTTCGAAATTCTTTATTTATTTAAGTGAATTCTAAGTTTTATTTCAACTTAAGCGTATTTAGAATTAACTTATGTTGATTTTAAGTCTAACATGGTACTATTCTGACGTACAGTATCAATATAAATAAAAATACCTACTTGTATTAATGCCAAATAATAATATTCATAATTTCACATAGTACAGTTCTTATTAAATATCAATGCTAGAATAACAACATAGACGTTAAATTGTTTATAAAAAAACATTATCCTCATTTAAATGTGCTATGCTGTATAATTCCTACGTATTATGTAATTATAACAAAAAGCAGGGAATAAAATATTTCAAATTGATCGTAAAGTGCATTTATATCCAACTAGAACTAATTTTATAAAAATAATAAATTTGTGAATTTAATTTCTTAGTATAGGTAATAAGTGCATTATTAATTAATTGACTATAAAGTAAGATTAATTAATTTGCAAGTAATAAATTTGCTGCTATAGCTTAAATTATTAGCAATATTATCTTTATATAGATTATTTTCAAATACCATTTCTTCATCAGATTTTAAAAATTCAGTTAAAATTTCTGGATTTTTTTTCCAATTTAAAATAGTTTCATAAATTTTTGAAGCTGAAGGTCGTTTTTCTGGATTATTGTTCCAACAACTTTCCAAAAGTTCAGCATAACACTTTGCTGTGCCTCTAATAACAGTTGGTTTAAATCCCACACAAATTTTCGCATGTGAATCACTATATTCGGAAAATACAACTCTTCCTGAAGAAATTTCCCACATAATTATTCCAAATGAATAAATATCTGATACTTTAGTAAACCTGCTTTCACCATGTAAAATCTCTGGAGCTATATACGGCCAAACTCCATAAATTCCTTTAGATTCTTTATCTATTGTTTTATTAATTGCAATAGCAAGTCCTAAATCACCAATATATGCATTATGTAAGTCATTTTGAAATATATTTCCACTATGTAAATCACAATGAATAATATCATGCGAATGAATTAATTGAAGATCGTGTGCAATATAAAATAATAATTCTAACTTTTTCTCCCATTTCATTTGTGAGATTTCATAAAGATTCTTGCGTAATGATCCCTTTTCTGCGTATTGCATAACTAAAATGTATTTATCGTTAGCTTCATCTTTTGTTACTCCATGACATTGTAAAAACGTAGGACTTTCGGATCCAATTCTAAAATACGCAATTAACTTTTAAAAATAATACAAATTAATAAACTTTTTATGAACCATAATATTTATGCTATATCAAACATTTACCTCTTTTAAAACTTCTTCATAACTATTTTTAGGTCCATTAAATAATTTAAGTGCAACTATTTCTTTTCTAATACCGTCGCCGATTTGGTGTGTCCAATTTGCAGAATAAACAGTTGCAAATCCACCTTCTCCAATTTGTTCTACAATTTCAAATTCATTAAATGGAATTAATGGTATTGATAAATTATTTTCGGATGATAATCTTTTTAAAAAATCATCGTCGATATTTTCACTATTGGTTGTTCGTTGAAATTCATTATTTTTAGCTTTTTGTAACCATTCATTAGCTTTTTCTTGATTTGGTATTGTTCCAATGCCATTTCGATAACATAATCCAACTTTATACTGCCCACTGTAATAACCATTTTCAGCAGATTTCAAATACCATTCGAATGCTTTTTTTTCATCCTTGGCTGTGCCTATGCCTTTCTCATAGCAGTATCCAAGATTATTTTGTGCTGCAGAACTACCACCTTTTGCAGATTTTAAATACCATTCATATGCCTTTCTTTCGTTCTTTGCTGTGCCGATGCTGTAATAATAACAGAATCCAAGACTGCATTGTCCACCTGAGTTTCCACCTTCAGCAGATTTCAAAAACCATTCGAATGCTTTTTTTTCATCCTTGGCTGTGCCTATGCCTTTCTCATAGCTGTATCCAAGATTATTTTGTGCTGCAGAATTACCACCTTTTGCAGATTTCAAATACCATTCAAATGCCTTTTTTTCATTTTTGACTGTACCTATACCTTTTTTATAGCAGAATCCAAGATTGAATTGCCCCTGAGAATTTCCACCTTCAGCAGATTTCAAATACCACTCAAATGCCATTTTTTCATTCTTCTCTGTGCCTTCGCCATATTGATAGCAGAATCCAAGGTTGTATTGTCCATCTGAATTACCACCTTCAGCAGATTTCAAATACCACTCAAATGCCTTTTTTTCATTTTTGACTGTACCTATGCCTTTGTCATAGTAAACTCCAAGATTAAATTGCGCATTAGAATCACCACTTTCGGCAGATTTCAAATACCGCTCAAATTTCTCTTTTTCATAGTTTTGTTTATTTATATCATTTGCACTAATCATAACTGGATAATAATTAGAAGGAAGATTTAAACCAAATTTATGAAAACATATAAACGGTATTTAACACCACAGTTGCTATATTTTAAAAGTCTGCACAATGATTCGATATTCAAAATAAAGTGCTCAGAGTGCCAAAACTTTTCTTTAATTTAAAACTCAATAGAAAATTATTATTAAAAATATAAGCGGCATTTACCATCTCCGATGCGATTTAATATTGTCTTTTAGATTTACTAATATGTAATTAATGTTACCGTTACATATTTATTGTTTAACGTTACTTAATTCCCGAAACTTAATTTCATTTACCCGACATCTTTTAGAATTTGATTAGTTTCTGGGATATATTTTTAGTAATTGTCACCCTGTGATGTTGAGAAAGGGAAATAATTTTCGGGGAATTGTACTATAACCTTAATTGCGACTGTGTGTGGGAAATGAAGTTGCGCCGCTCAAAAACTAATGGGTTTATTTTTTTTTTTATTAAATAATAATTAGGTTGGTATTACAGTTATTACATTTGGTTTAGAACTATTTTACCCACATGTAACATAACATTATTGACTGCTTCGCATCCAATAATTATATATCATTGCCGGTGAATGGTATTGATCTGATTCATCTGTATTATATTCAATTTCGATTTTTTTTTTTTTTAAAGCACATAACTTATTGTAAATTTAATGTTATGTTCTCTTAAAGCGCCATAAAAAGTTTTACCATGTTCATGTTTTTAATATCATTAACTAATTTTGAATAGGCATAATAGACATTTGGTTGGTTTTATCTCGAAGCTATTTTATATTAAAAGTAGTATCTTATTATATGTAACAAAATAAAATTAATCTCGTCAGCTGCTTCGCATTAATGATAGAAGATCTTGTAATTAATTGTTTTGGTGATAAAAACTCACATTATAGCGGTTTGCAAAAAGATGTGACCTCTGCAGATCATAATGTCATGTAAAATCACGATAAATCAGCCGATTCTAGTAGATTTTTCGATTCTTAAAGAATTTTAAAGATTCCGAATAACATATAAACGTTATTGATCGAAAATTATGATCAATAGGGAATTAAAATCTCGGAAATTTTTCTGCTATCATCATCACGAAATCACAGGGTCACACCTTTTTGCAAACCGCCATAATAGAATTGTATCTTTAGATTATTGGGATGATACCATATTTGAATTGCATTTCCCGATAAATATTGGTGAAATTTTTGAACTTCAAAAAAAAAAAGAAAGAAAAGTGAAAACCAATATGTATTAGAAAGAAAGCGTTATTTTAAATTAAACTCATTTTTATCTTTAATGTCAATAGCTATGATAATTATATTCGAGCCATTCAAGGCCAGTGTTGCGAGTTAAATTTAACTTTTATATTAACTAATTTTAAGTGAAAATTTTTGAATTTGAAACTTTATTTAGCCATAAA